ACCTGACAACATGATTATCGAAAAATTCGAGGTAACCAACCATATCTTTGACATTCCTATATTTTAAAGCCTTGTAGGATTTGTACGCAGGAAGGAGAACACCAAAAAAAATTCTAAAAATAGCTGCATAAGATCTAAAAAAATAAATTACATAATGAAGCGAGAAAATATAATAGCTATCATTTCTTAATCTTGTCAGGAATCAAGGATGGTTGGTTTCAACTGTTATACGCGAATTAAGAATAAGAACCAATCAGATTCCGAGGATTCTGTTTCTTCAAAAATTGAACTCCGCGGTCAACGGAAATCAAAATATAAACGTCATGCCGTCCCAAAATTACAGCCTAAGCACTTACATTATCCGGGATTCTATAGAGCCCTGAATATCATCATGTATTGCTTTAATTGTTTGTAGGTATGCTGATCCGAAAATAAAACGCCTAAGTTTGGATTCCAGGTGAATGCTATTTCGAAAGGCTGTTCAATGTAAAACTTATTGCGTTGTATTGAAACGCTACGTAGGTCGATTTTTTGCGCCGAAATGGGCCGCATGGTCAATGCGCTGGAAAACCATAGGTGTGAGATCAAGGCATGGCAGACGCTATACGGATTGCCCTCTCATAACAAATGCCGAAAATAGGGGCGTGGTGGCACGCATATGTGCAGGTACGGCCGAACCCGCCTGCGGTCGTCTAGAATTCGTCTTTGCAATGGACTCGAATGAGGGAGGGAAGAGAGACGATGGTTACTGTAGCGCATGTCCACCATCACTTCAAATTAATCAAAGTGCAATGCTGGGGCGTTAGCCTTATTGTTTAAGTTAAATCCCTCATTGCTATGTCTCTTTTTTACCTTAATCTTTCAAGCTTTCTTTAAAGTCTTCGGCGATGGTCACATCTAGCATATAGAAGAAGTTATTCCATTGTTTTATCACTCTGACAGAGAAGGAGAACTTACTGCTTTTATCACTGCCTCTTTCTCATAAATTTACATGGTATTGTTGACTTTTTTTCATGGCCTATAGACCGAGAAAACTATACGAACAAGTCATATTGGTTCACAAGAGAAGTCTATAGACTAAGAACACTATAAGAGCAATTCCTATTACCATTTGCCGGCCCCGCCATTTTCTATATTCACGACACCTCGGTGGACTCCGTCTTCTGGTCCGATGTCGCTCGCAGTTTCGGGGCCATGTTTCAGGTTTCATCTTGAGGACAGCGGTGCTGGCTCTGCCCTCCACAACCGCCGACAGCAATGAACCGTCCATCGATGCAAACTCGTCTGGTGAAGAATACTTTTCCTATAAAATTGAAGGGAGATTGACAACACTGTACACTTGTGCCAACCCGATTTTTCCAACAGCTTTTATTAAACGAGCTGCAGTTTTTCTCCGGTAGCACCCCACTTAGTAGCAGACATTTTTAACAATACCACCTTGGAATTTTTTTACTGAGAGCTCAATCTTCGCCGTATATCACTTTTGTCTTTGCCTGTAAACTTACAGTAAATGCAGTAGTTAAATTCAGCATTGCCCAGTGAATCCGCATATCATACTGCCTAATGCGGCCTGTTAGAAATAAGATGGCTGAAATTAGAGCCATTGCTTTCGAGCTGAAGCCGGAGAATATATGTTTAACGGAATCTTGAACACATCCCTGATTTCTGTCTCTTCCATATTCATAGACTAGTATGATCTCCACCCTCAAGATCGCCGTAATAAACGTGATGATTGGGGTCTTTGCTATATTAAAGGTTCTATCAAGCACTTCCGGTTAGCTAAATATGGCCTTATTCTCTGAAAATTACTGCTTTGTGTCTATTATCTTCTCGCCTCGACAAAAAGTTACTCATGGGTACACATATAACCCACCTAAATCATCATCCGATATTGATTATGGAAAATTTTGTGGATTTTTTTAAATTGGCTTTGTTGTTCACTTCTGAAATTATAACAGTCGCTAGAGACTTTAATTTTCTCAAAACTGACTGTATTGCAAATTTTTGTCCACCTATCTTTCAGCTTTTCCTAGGTACCGTTTATTTTCTAAACTGGTCTCGGCTGGTCCGCCGCCCAACGAGAGACGATCCTATTTTAGATCTGTTTTTTTTTCAAAAGACATGCCTCCCCTCCTCGTTGGTTTGAGGCAGAGCTTCTCCTAAAGTGAAAACGCATTAGTTCACTGTTGCATTCCATTTAGCTCTTCGAAAAAGGCTAGCGCCGTTCGTATTTACAATGCTTTCAATCTCGCAGATATTACCCTAGTTAACAATTTGTTGACGCAGTGGACCAGCACATTTTCTCTCCTCTGAAAGACACAGTAAGTCCTTGTGACTTTATGTAGGCCATTTCTAATAACCTCATAGAATTTTTGCAAACTAAAATTCTCAAACTCTATGTTTCCGAATTAACTGTTCCTCACTTTCTTTGTATAGTCTAAAGAAATCGATGAGACAGTTGACATATAGATCAGCAGGGATTCAATGTGGGGCCGCCTAATGGTAGTAGGAATTGCTCTTATAATTTTGTTAGTTAATAGTTTTCGATTGTTTACTAATTTTAGTCGCTCTTATAGTTTCTTGGTCCCTTTGTTCTTTCCGTAACATTTACCGACGTGTTATTTCGGTAGAGCAATCACAAGTGGCTTTCATTTATTTTATATTATGCACTGAATTTTTGAGTGCATTCTTTGCAAAACAGAATCTGAACCGGTTCCGTCGTTTCATCCACACCCTGTCAATGTTATACTTACCATTGATTTCTCCTCAGAATTAATTCATAAGGTCACAAGCCGCCTAAAAACCCCACCCTCTTCGGAAAATGACAGTGTTTCGAGCTCATTGATCACGAGAGTGACGAGCTTCCCTATTGATTATCCATATATTCTTAGTTTATATTTTATCCTGTAACACCGAACATATACATATACGTTAATTCAGCTGTCTATCTGGGCAGTGTCCATCGTGTGCTCAATAGCGTGGTAATGCAAGGACAATGATTTAGGCGTGGTGTAGTTTTAAGTGGTAGAAGACTCACCTTGCATCCAACGCAATCTCTTTCCCCACTCGCCAAAACTTGCTATCAATGCAGGGTATATAGAGCACTGCTGATACCGCGTGAATTGAATGACAATGACAAATGCATGAACTGCTTCGGTCTCCCTTTCGAAAGGAAAAAAAAGTCTAACACCGAAGAGAACTCTTTTAGCACAATGTATCTTATCGTAACTATAGATATGCTTGGCTAGGCAGTTTTCGCGTACCTTGAACAGGCTTTTGTTGCACAACGTTTTTTTCTAACTAAGTTGATCGCGGGAATCATGGAGCTATTTTCCTGACGTGTAGAATGCAAGCATGCTTCCGCCGGCGGAGTCGATTTACGCACTTAGGTTTACATTATTTACTGGGTGTTGTTGATTTGGTACGCTACTGACCTCAAGTTCACCTGTCCCCGATGCACTGCTATCGTTTTCGAGGTAACTTATTGATTTGGGGCGGCAGGTCAAATGTATTCATACAGCTCATCCATAAGTCTTAACGGGTGGTGCTTTTATTGTTACACAGGCTCCGAATTGCATGGGGGGAGTTTCTCTTTTTCTGAGCTTGAGGAATTGCATTTTGTTAGCAAAGGGAATACAGCTATTTAGTACTTCGTTTATTCATAATAATAATATTTTTTTAAACGTCCAGAGCACAATATCAAAGCTAAGCTTTCCAATGTCTGCCATTACATTCCTATTCATAAGCCAGTTTTGAGTCAAACCATATAAGCTCTCTTTGCTGGAGTTGATATAGACGGAAACTCCGACATGTTTATGCAAAACAAAAGACGAGTCATTTTAATGTCCCAGAATATTCCATTAGTAGTATAGGATGGCTATGAAACTACGTTTTACGTCAGTCCTTTGCCAGTACGCCTTACAATCTCAGGGGTTGCGCCAAAGGTGATAGACGCGTAATGGCTTAGTTGGAAATGTCCTGTCGTGCGGTGTTTGATTCAACTGTTTACTGGTACGATACGTTTTCGTAGTACAGAATTATGGGCATTTCTTACGGAAATTCTTCCTGAGAAGAAATAATTCAAGATAACTACTGCCCGCTATTGGGTTTAGGCGGACAGTGATAAAACCAGCCACTTGTTAGAAAGACAGAAGCAACGACTGGAGTTTCAGTAGGTGATGCAGTTCTAGTTTTCCACAGAAAAGAAACGGA